CGAATTTTCAAAATTGAAGCATGTAATCTAAAAGTTCCAGATTTTACTAAATGAATGGTAACTCAAGTAATTATGTTGAAATTTTAAATCCACGGGCTCGTGTCATGATCCGCTTAAACCATAATGCTTACGAGTACATACTTTGAGGGGTGAAAGTAAGGATATTTCATTTTGGTATCAGAGCAAAGATTCTAGCAAGTATTTAAATAGAACAGAGGATCTGGTAAAAGCTCTGACAAAGGGACTAATAGAGCACTGGTTCAAGTAAAGCCCGATATGAATGAAATCCCTATCAAGGATGCAATGGACTAATTTGAGGAGATTAAAAATAAATAAATAAATTACTTTAAAATATTATATTTATTGTTTTTTCTCCAAATTAATTTTTTGGCTTGTAAACTAATATATAATTAGTGATACATATAAATATTTTAGAGAGATCATGTACTATATGTTATTGTGTCAAATAAATAAATAATATAATATTTAAAGTAATTTATTTATTTATTTTAATCTCCTCAAATTAGTCCATTGTATCCTATATTAAGGACTGGAGGTAGTACTCGGGTGCAAGTAATGAACCTCATATCTTAGAAGGGAAAGATGTGTTTTGCTTAAATACATATAAAAGGCTTGGAGGCTCAAAAAACGACATGACAGAGAGCGTGTGGGTGTGTGTTGACTATGATGAGAGAATGGATCGACTTGGAAGTGGAAATTTATAGAGAGAAAATATAGCATTTGGTGAGACCAAAAAGAATAAAATTAATGGATGTTTATGGAAGTTGAAGAATTTTGTTATTTTTTTTTCCTTTTACAAAGTTCATTTATATTTTTACACCCAAGTAAATTTCATGGTGCCTAATGCCCCTTGATGCAAACTTTGCTGTTAAAAATGCACCTTAGAACTGACTTTCTGGGCCCCTCTAACGGTAAACTGACGGACGTTAACGGCATGGTGCCAGATGCTCCCTTTTGACAACTTCATGTATATTTTTACACCCAAATAAACTTTATGGTGCCCAGTGCTCCTTACGGTAAACTTTTTTGTTAAAATTGCACCTTAACCCTATATTATATCTTTGAATATTTATACAGTGATAAACTTATCTTTGGTGGTTCCCATTTTCACCCCGTCTGAGTGGACCTTCTTTTATAAAAAAAAAGCTAATAGGTACACCAATTGACAATAAAACCACTCCAAAGCATTTCTTTCTCTACACCGTTTACAGAGCCCGTGTAAAAGAGAGATTTTTAAAACTGATCATTTTTAAACTGGACGTGATTCCGATGTAAAATGCCTATTTTATCCTATTTAAAAGACTTTTTTTTTTCTAGTAGCGTAATTAATTTAAATGAAAATAGTTACATCACAAATACTTACCCATTCTTGCTACTATTCATATTTGCACCGCAACTGAATAGGGACAGCGTCCCAATCCTCTAAGACTGGACTTGGTATAGCCCCCAATTTGTATCGATCTTGGATTGAGGCTAAGGCAGTTTAGTTCAAGAGTTGGACCTAGCCTCTAAAAAGAATTGTCTGTCTTGGATGGAGAGAAAATTAGGGAGAAAAATAGAAAGAGAAATGAGTTTTGCTTTGCTTGGATAGGAGAAAAAATATAGGAGGAAGAAAAAGTGAGGGGAATATAAGGTGGCCTCATACCTCATTGTTTTCCTTCAAATTTTCTCCCTATATGTGGAGAGATTTGGTGATGAAAACGAGATTTCCGTTGCTGTCCTTCTTCTTGTGCCTTCCTGAGTTCTCTCTCTACATTTATTTTCTTTTATTATATTTAATAAGTCATTTGATTTTAAAATATAATAATATAAAAAATTATATAAACCAAATAACATGATGTTCTTTTTAACGAACATTTTAAGTTTGTTTGTTTTTTGTTTTTCAAGATTACAAAAAACATTTTTTTGCCAATTTTAATTATTGCTATTTTCCCTTAATTTTCATCCATTTTCTTTATGTAGTTTTTATTATAAATTTTTATACGTCATGTATAGTTAGTTTTCAATTTAAAAAAAAAAAACTACCCTGTCTCATCCTATGAACACCCTTAAATTTTCATTTAAAACTAAAAGATAAAATGAAAGATGAAATCAGAATGTCCAACGTGAAGCATAGTCATAATAATGGCAGGCCCATCTCAGCCAATTTGCCACACCCTGAGAAAACTAATTGTTGTTTAAATACACTGCATGGAGAAAACTATTCAAAGAAGCAAAACAAAAAGAATAAATAATTTGACCTTGAATAGATGAAAACTTTGCTTGCCTAAAATTGTTAAAATAGATATAAATTAGTTATAAATTGCTTGTATTTAAAACCAGAAGGAGTATGTTTTGTCAGTGTCCTAAAATTGTTAAATTTTTATTCTTCAACTACATTCCAGAACAAAACATTAATCAGCAATTTCCCATTCACGCGTTTCCTGCAATCTCGGTTTTTTTGTCCTTGGTCATTTTCTTCACCAAACCAAAAATCCATTTGGATGCACGTCAATAATGTTAAAGGCCAAGAAACTTAAGAAGTAAATGGGCATTATTTTTACTTTGTCAACCTTAAATGGCCATAACCCAATATTGGTACTACATATGGTGGACATGTCAAAGACAACTCATTGATCAGCAAAAAGCTCTCCTGCAAGCTTGAGGTAGGAAGCACCTGCATTGCATAAAATGTCAACGCAAAAAAGAGAAATACTCCCAACTTAAATCTCAACAAATTAATAACAGAATCATCACATAAAGTCTGCAAGAGTGTGCAAGGAAAGCATCTGTCTAAAACATGAATTCAATTTTCTGAGTAAACTGCGATTTGCATCCCCTGAAACCCCATAAATATGATTTTACCATCAACAAAGGAAGATTATATAATTGATGTATTAAAAGTTGTCAGGAGTTAAATGACGTTAATCAAGTTATAAAAACTGAATTTACAGAACATCCATCCTCCAAGGACTTCAACGTTATATATATGCCTTACTTAACGTGAATACACAAGAAAAATTTTCAAGAGCTTGACTCATTTGTCAGTGCAAGTTGATAGTGAGGTTGCTGCAAAACAGATGCCTGATCTTCCAACCCGCACAAATTGATCCAGAAACAAACAAATTAACAAAAAAAAGTTGACAGAGCAATGCATTTTTGGGCTGGAAAAAGCATAACAAGGCAACAATGAGGAATTGAGTTAAGGGAAAGGGAGCTCCACGTGGAGCTGAACTTATCAGAGCATGCAAGTCATTGGCAAACTGCCTAACGAAGGATACAAGCACTGGTGGCTTTAAAGAACAATAAAACATCAATTATTTTGCAACTTCTTTTCTTTGTCAGAATTCCTCTTCAAGTGTAAGAAGAGACCACTAATTTGAGAAATAATTGTTTTGAAACTTTCTCTAAGCAGAAGAGAAAGTGTAACATTCACACGGGTAGAAGTATCTGGTTTTCTTCATTTAAATAAATCAAGACTTGACCCAAAAGAAAAGGAATTAAGAGGATGAAGATAAGTAAGAAGACTTTTTAAAAAAATCCATTTAAATAAACTAAAATAACTGAATAAATGTGTAAAGTAATTATTTGAGGATAAAACAGAATAACTATACATGCTGGACAGTACCAGGTTGGCCATACACTTAGAAAGTTGAAACCATACCGTTTGCGCTGCGTATTTTCATCCCTGGCTTCAACCTTGTTCAAATGTAAAACCAAAAGACCAAGTTCTGCTCTGGTTGTGCCCAATGTACTCATCCCTGGAGCTAATCGAAGATGCAAACCAAAAATAAAGGGTAAGAACAATTTAGAAGAAATATACAAGTGATTAATGGCAACATCTCCCCAAGAAAAATCAGAATCTGTTTTTGAGAAAAGAAAAAAAAAATGAAGAGTAGGAGATTGGAGCATATTAATAAAAACTATACCATGTCAGAATTTATATTTAACTTGAGTTGCAAAGGGTGACAGATGAAGTAACCCCAACTGCAACGCCAGTCCCAGGGGAGTAGGTTGAGAGATCCAAGAATTGTTGAGTCGCTTCGTGGGAGGAACTCCATCTTCAACACCTATATCTGCAACCCTCTTTCTTTTTTGACCTGACCCAGGCTCCGACTCCGAGTCACATATTGCGTGTACTCCACATGCTTCAACAGAGACTTTGTTGTTGGATGCTTCTTTCCATGATAATCCCACAATGCACAATGACATGGTCCGAATCCAATTCCCGATAACATGCATAAAAAGGATAGAATTCGATGTCGTCACCATCACAAGTGAAATAAAAATAGCCCTGTCCCAGTGATCTGAGATGACAATGAGGAGCAACCCAGCAAAACAATAGGTGATTTGCTCATTCAAGATTGCAAGTAAACTGGATAGTATTGGAAGTCTCTGTCATTTGCTTATATTTCATCCACTTTGGAACTGTGTTTCCTGCATAACAAGCTCGCCGACGACTCCTAACAGGGGATAAGTGTATGAGGAATGAGTTAATTCCTCGATAAAGCCTAGCGAACACTCATTCAACTTTACACAATTTGTGAAGAAAAACTGACACGGACTGAAAATGAGAGAGTCAGAGGACACAGTCACCAATAAAGTGCAATCAGTGGCATCTAATTCTTGAAGCATGGGAGGAAGTTCAAGTATTGACTTAAGCCTTTTGCACTCTCTCAGGAAAATTTTTGTCAAGCTTGAAAGCTGGCCTCAATGTCTCTACGCCACTATATGACAATGATAAATATTCTAACCTTGTTAAGCACTTGATATTGCCAGGGATTTCCGACAAGTAACTCCACCCGATCAAAAGTAGCTCCCTTAAATTACGCCAAGCATCAAAAAGGGAATGCAGCTCCTCTGTGTGATTTCTTGCTTGAAATTATTAACATGAAACACCTCAAGATTTGTCAAGCAACACAGCTCCTTTATTGGAAGACTCCTCATTCTTTCACTATCAGCAATTGTAAGTTGTATAAGCTCTGTGAAACATCCAATTAGCAAATGCAATATTTCGATTCTAGTTTCAGTAAGAACTATATGTTTTAATTCCTTTGATGACAAACATAATTTCTTGAGGCCACAACAGTCAACCATGAGATCAGAGAGAGATTCTAAAAGAGTCTCGCTTTCAAGACTCTCTAATTTACCGCAACCAGATACATCCAATTCAACAAGAGTGTGGCGAGATAAAATGGATGGATGGACCCTCCTCAAACTTACACAATCATAGAGACATACATTTTCAAGCTTATGTGCCATAGAAAAATCAGGCAATTCCATCAATTCAAATGACCAACTCAAATTAATTGTCCTTAGATTCACAAGATCCTGTAATAACAATGAAAACAAAAAAAGATTACTCCAAAAACCTTAATAAATTAAATTTGACTAAACCTATATAAAATACAGATTAGTACATATACAATTACCTGTACTCAGTCCCAAAGCTTTGTAACATTGTTTCCTGTCATTCGTAGTTCAGCAAGGTTTTCAGGACAAAAGCCTAATGGCAAAGACTCACATGGGTAATGATCCCACTGAAAATATTTTAATGTATTGGGAAAAGAGTAAAGACTAAAAGGAAGCTCTATACATGTCTGGGTTTCAGACCATTGCCTATTAAAAACTTTGAGGATTCTCAATTTTTTCATCTTCGAGAAGGCATTTGCTCTCAAATGTAAATATTTGATTTAAGACACATCCAATGAAATGCCTTCAATTTCATCTTTTTCCTAAAAAAAAATAAAATAAAATAAATATTAAACATTTTAGAAAAAGTATCAAAAAATAAAAAATAGAAGAAATAAATTGAAGTATGTTTCCCTTACCTTGTTAATTTTTAACACATCACATCTTTCATCTGCATCATTTAATCGACTGCTGAATTCAAGACGTTTGATACATTCCTCACAAACTATTTGCTCAGTCATTTCTCGCATCAAGTCGTGCATTACAATACGGTGATACCTGTCTGACTTTATGAGAGCTTTATCTATGAGATTTTGTATTCCACTAACCGCTTGGAAACCACAAGACTCTAACACATAAGCAATTTCATCTTTTGGTTTTCTCACCAAAAAAAAATGCAATGTATAAAAATATTTCCCTATCTATATAGGATCTAACCTATCATAACTCACCTTCAATATATTTTGAATATCCTGATGGGGATACTTTTGGACTTTGCTAAGCTCACTTTCCAATATGCTTCATCTCTAGAACGAAAATGGGAACCCAGAACTTCTAAAGTTAAAGGAATGCCTCCAGCCAAGGCAATTGTCAGATTTGATAGCTCTTCATATCCCTTAATGGGATGATTTTGATTGAAGGCATGTATACTGAAAAGTTCAAGTGATTCTTCTAAACTCAATTCTTTGACTTCATGTATATATTTTTCACGACCCCTCCACTCCTAAGAACATGCTTGTCTCTACTTGTTGCAATGACTCTGCTGCCTCGTCCCAAGTAAAGTTGTTGTCCAGTGAGATCTTTTAGTTGCTTTGGATTGTCCACGTCATCAAGTACAATTAACACTTTTTTGTTTTGTTTTAGTCTTATCACCGCATGATCGCATTTTATGTGATCATTTTTATCTAATAGCTTAGAAAAAAGTTTTTGAAGCAAAGAACTCAGACCAGTTGATTCTTCTCTCACATTTTCTAAGAAACAACGATTTCAAATTTAGATGAGAATTTGTCAAATATAGCACACGCAAGGGTTGTTTTGCCTATCTCTTCTGGGCCCCAAAATTCCAAGACCTCAAAGTTCTAGTGACTCACCATTTTCCATTAATGATTTAACACTAGTAAAATTTTGATGAAATCCAATGAGTCAAGATCCCAGCACAATTGGAATGTTATCTTCCAATTTTCTTAAGACATTTTCAACTATTGCATTGATGAGTTCAGATTCATCTCTAGCATATAAAAAACAAATAAAATTATTAGAGTTGCTCATTATAGAAATAATTAATGCTAGACAAAATTTTACTATATTTAGATTGTTTTGGCAAACCGAGAAAAAGTAGAAGAAACTAAGAATAATAAAAACAAACTTACTGAAAATTTGATGGATGATAACCAGATAAATTCACAGTTTTTTTCAAGACAGATCTCCAAATTTGCAAATTTTGCATATTATCCTTGAGCTTTTGTTCATGATGAGTGAATGCCTCCTTATAAATGTATTTTTGGTGCCTGACATCTGATGGATCAACGTGGTAGAATATTGGAATTACAATTTGCTGACCAGCTTCCTTATGTTCTATGATTTTGACAAGCTCTTCCAAGCACCACTTTGAAGAAGCATAATCATGTGAAGTTGGTTGAACACCTGACACATATTGAATCTTCATCTTTGCTATATGTTTATATATTTTGTCACTATTAAGTCACTCAATCAACACATACGTATTGGCCAACAAGTATCAACATTCATTTCAATAAGCTTTTTAACAACATGCACCCTTAATAAAAAAATGCTAGATGTGTTTTTTCAAATTTGATTCAAAATTTGGTAAGAAAAAACACTTTTGACCATTGCTCACTATTTCGATTATAACTTGAAAACTACAAAGTATTTTTAAGTGTGTCTTGTTCATTGAAAACTGGATTCGGAGACATTTTTAATGATAAGTCGTTTGCCCAATTTGAATTTAAACTAAGAAAGTTATATACAATTAAATGTTGCTCTATTCAAAGCGTCAAAAATAGAGTGGAATAGGCATGTAATGAATTCAAATTTTGTATAAAAAGTTGGAATATATCATGCATAAATTGGAATTTGCTAATACAAATGCTAATTTACATTAATAAACCCATGGCTAAACTTTAAGTTGTGAGAAAGAAATGAGTATATTCAAATTTGATATAAAAAAGGTTGAATTTACTGCACCAAATTCAAATTTGAATTTGCTTTTTTTTTTTTGTCATATTAAAGCTTAAATTTTATCAAACATGACTTTATTACTCTAAATCTAAATTAGGTAAATGCCTTATAGTTATTTAAATCTAGTTTCTAATGAAATAAAACTCATTAATTTTTTTTTATACTTATAATGCTATGATAAAAATTATGAACAAAGGTCATAAATGTTTTAGCTTTGACCTTTCAACATTGCTATAATATCTCACAAACTATAAATACTTTTAAAGTAAAATTTGTTTGACATAAACACAACTCAGTAAGTTTTTCAATGACATCTATCTAAATAATTTAATTATGCAATATTATTGTGATTTTTTGAAAACATTTGTCATTTTTGCTCATCATGTTGAAAATAAATTTCAAAATATAAAGAGTTTATAAATGGGTTTTATTACATTAAAAACTAAACTTCAAAATTTTTTTTAATGATAAATCATTTGACCCATTTAAATTTAAATTAAAAAAAATATATCACCTAAAAATTCATATTTTAATTAAGTTTCTTTATATCCATTAGATTTATAGATTATTTGGTTATACTTTCTTCCTTTTATTTTTGTGAATTTATTTTTAGTCTTTGTACAAACTTCTTTGTTATATTTTATTTATATTTTTTATTTAATTATAATTTAATTATTTTTAATCATTCAATATCTATAGCCATTTTTATATTTATATTAAATATTTTATATTTATTTAAATCCTAATATATTCTCATTCATTTTTTTTGAATTATTGATTTATAAAATATCATTATTATGTAATGTTAAAAAGAATTTTTATTTAAAAATATTATGTTCTTTTATTAAGAGTAACATGGTGAAACTTCATAATTTCATCCAATCAAATATAAAATTTTTCATCAACTCATTTTTCATTTTAGTTTTTATGAAACATGCCATTACTCAAAAGTTTTTCGTTTCATTCCTTTCTATTCCAACCAATTCTTTCTACTAAACAGGCCCTTAATTTTTTTGGAATACAATAAACAACACTCCCTTCATCTTTTTTTATAAGCAACCTTAGACTAAATCATCTAGATTAAAAAATTAGTTAAAATTAATTAAAGACAATAAATGCATAAAAATTAGAATTTTTCCTGCAAAATACTATTATTTATGGGGAAGAGAGTATTGTTAGAATCAATCTCACCCAAGAGGGGGGGTGAATTGGGTGAGTTACAAAAACTTAAAAATTAAAACGAGACAGTATTGAAAACAGAGAGTCAGAGTCAGGAGAGATTTCACCGAGGAAGGAAGACACAAGATTTATACTGGTTCGGTCTTAACCACTTGACCTACGTCCAGTCCTCAAAACACTTCTGAGTATTTCACTATCTTCCAAGATCGATAGGGCTCTTGGTGCCTCGGTACAGTAATTGAATCGCTCAATCACTCCCCCTTACTCCCGTAAGGATACAAGCCCTCTCAAGAGTCCACACTCTTGAGTATCACTCAACAGTAATTAATGAAGAGTAGTTATCGACTCTCTTACAGAGTGAGTTTAATGATGAACACTGACGCTCAGTAGTATTGAGAAAAACAGAGTATTGAATGCTAGGCTTAATAATCACAGGTGGTAGTTCCGCTATTCAATCCCTTCATTAATGCTTCTTCGCGCCTTTTATAGTTGAGATCGTTAAGTACCCGTTAGACGGAAGAGCTTCTAGCCGTTGTGACTCCGTTTGCGTGTTTCGCCGGTTTCAACGGTTCCGCCATTAATGCGTCTGAGCTTCTGACACTGTAGATTGCAGTTTACGTAATCCCGTTGAAGAGCCGTTGCAGTCTTTCTTAATGATCTGCATATTTTAAACTTTGAACAAGTAAGAGTCTTGCGGTGTATGCTTTAGTCATGAACTAAGAAAGAAGAATAAATCGATTATACAAGGATTCTAGATGAGATGATTTATCTGTAAAAAGATCAGAAAGAGATCCTGGACATGCTTAATCGAAGTGGTGATCGATTACTTGTTGATCGATCAGGTTATCGATAAACAGAGTGAAAGCTTTTTGAATCAGTTCAACAATATTATTGATCAAGTGTTGGATCATTGATTTTAAGAGTTATCATAGTAATCGGAAATCGTTCCATGATCGAACAAGTGATCGAACACTTGTTGATCGAACAGATTATTGATAATTCAAATGTTATTGAAATGAAACTTCAGTTATTGATGATCGAACAACTTATCGATAAATGGATGATGGATAAGGTTATCGATAAACCATGAGTAAGAATATATTCAGTGAAAAACACAGACTATCTGGAATGATCGAACAGGTGATCGATCAATGAATATTCGAAAAAGTGATCGATAAAGTGAAAAAGGAAATTTAATCCTGTAAGGTAAAGAAACTGATTATCGATCACGTTTTGTGAAAACATGAGTTTCAAGAAATCGGATGATCGATCATATTATCGAAAAGTCAATGATCGATTAGGTGATCGAAAATGGTTCAACATAAGTTAATGCGAATATAGCAAACCTTAGACTCTTTATTGATCATGTTATGTGAAAAGATATTATGCAAACAAGTTTAAATTATCGATAATGTTATCGATAATTTGGCTGCAGAAAAACTAAATATGAGCAGATAAAAACATTGATTATCGATCATGTGATAGATAAGGTTATCGATCCAGCAGTTAAGATGACTACCTGCATTCAGAGAGTTAGAGCATAATGTTCGATCATGTGATCAATAAACAAATGATCGAAAATATGATCGATAAATGATAACAGAATTAATGTGCAGAACAAGTAGAGTGTGTTACCTCTTATCGAAGTCGTTATTGATAACTGATTTATCGATCATGTGATCGATAAATACACTTCAGATTTGGTTCTCTTTATCTGTTACTTGTTTGTTTAACTGATGTTATCGATCAAGTGATCGATAATTAACTATAACCTTATGTGATTTTCATGTTAGCGATGATCGATTATTTTATCGATCAACAACTTATCGGATAGCTCTTTGATCAAACAATCTACTATAAAACTGATTTATACCTGAACAGTTATCTGAAAACTTAGCGATAAACGATTGATCGATCAGATGATCGATCAACATACTTAACCCAATTAATCTAACTTTGTTATCATCAAAACTATAATCCTAACAAGTATAAGAAAGAGAATAAAAAATTATCATAATAAAAAGAATTATGAAAGAGCCAGAATGTGTGTTAAAAAGAGATTATAATAAAATATAGTTTTCAGAACATTTATTATCGAGGAAATGATGTTTTAGGAAAACTAAATATATTAACTTTTAAAATAAATCTTTAATATGGGCAAAATAAAAATTTTGTTACAAAAATTTAAGACAACTTGCTAATATTAAAGAGACATAGAGGGTATACTATTTGAACAAGGATTTTTCATGAAGATGTAGTGAAAGAAACTAGTGAGAATTAAATAAGAGAAAAAGTAAGTTCAAAAACAAGAGGTACTCTATCAGGCTCTTTTTTATAAAACCCTAAAATTTTAACCGGTTTAATTTTTTACAATATTTTATATAGAATTGTCTAGACATTAAATGTATTTTGACTAATTTTACTTCTAATTAATTATCTATTCTCTCATTTTTTTTCCTTATACTACGTTTTCTTTCATCATTTATCTCAAGACTAATATTTCGCTCTCTTATTTTTTTTTTTCTTATTAAATAAGAGCATACTTGAAAAAAAGTTTAATATTTTACATATTTATTGTTTTCAATTAATTTTAGCTAACTTCTTAAACTGCGTGATTTGGTTGAAAGGATCTTATAAAAAGGAAATGAGGGAGTATATAAAAAATAATCAATAATTAATATAGTGAGAGAACATATAAATATTTAAGATTAAAGTATAAAAAATTTATTAAAATTTAAGCTCTATAGCGAGTAGTCCGAATATCTGAGGAGTAAAGGAGTGAGCGCTATCCTTGGGATATGGGTAGGGGTAGAAACAAGCCAGGCGGCCTGTTAAGGGCCTATGGCCTGGCCCACATTTAGCCTAACCAGGCCTGTTTTTCAAAAGAGACAGACTCAAGCCTATTTAAAGACTTGTTTAACTAGACAGGCCAGGCTTAGGCTTTCTAAAAAGCCTACTAAGCCTGTTAGGCTGGCCTAAGCTTGTTAAAAGTTTATAATTACAATATATGAAAAAATTAGGTAATGGTATTATTGTTAATATGCTCTTTTAATTTAAATAGATAGTTAATAGTTTAATCTTTTCTTAAATTTTGAAGTTTAGTTGACAAGTAAAGATAAAATATAATTTAAAATAATAATATTAATAAATAATGTGATCTTTAAATCTTAAAAATATAAAAAAAAGGAAAGAAAAATTTTGTTCCAGTAATGATAAATTAACTAACTTGTGTATTGTGTTAATTAAAGTATGATACCCTCTTTATTCATTATAAAATTAGTAGTTTTT